GATCTGTATAATTTAAATATACTTTAAACCATATTTATATATACAAATTATATTTATATAATTTCAATATTAATATTTATATCATTTTTTATATGTATATTTTTAAATACATAAATGTCAAACTATTGTTTTGAAATGCATAATCAACAAATCAATAGTTTTATATTTATTTGTATGTTTATTTTTATTTATTATTACTTTTTAAACTATTTTATTTATTTATTATTTTATTTGGTTTTATATTTATCCATCTTTTTTTTTTTTAATTATTAGATTGTCATTCGCAATGTTTCATGGGACTATATTTCTTTCTTTAAGAGGGATAAGTAGTTGCCGGTAGCCATTGACTTCCATAGTCATTTTTTTCTATACTATGGAAGTCAATGGCTACCGGCAACTGTGTGGTTACCAACATCCTTCAAAATATTTTCTTTTGTGTTCAACAGAAGAAAGAAACTCATACACCTGCCGCAGCAACCGCAAGAAACGCCACCTGATGGAGGCTCTGTGGCTCTCATGCGGCGAGGCGGGGATGAAGGTGTGGCTTCCTCTGTTCCCGCGAGACCACCGCAAGCCGCACTCGTTCCTGTCGCGCCGGATCATGCTGCCCTTCCACATCAACATCTACCCGCTCACGGTGCTGTTCGAGGACGCGCTCATCCTGGGTGCCTCCAATGAGACGGCGCTGTTCGACGGGCCCGGCTCGTCCTCGCTGGAGGGGCTCTTCCTGATCATCCTACAGGTGAGAAACAAAAAAATCTACAACATGCTTGATGTACAGTTGAGGTCAAAAGTTTACATGCACCTTGCGGAATCTGCAAAATGTTAATTATTTTACCAAAATAAGAGGGATCATGCAAAATGCATGTTTATTTAGTACTGACCTGAAGGTATTTCACCTAATATGTGACCCAGGACCACAAAACCTGTCATAAGGGTCAATTTTTTGAAATTGAAGCTGAATAAATAAGCTTTCTATTGATGTATGGTTTGTTAGGATAGAACAATATTTGAAAATCTGGAATCTGAGGGTGCAAAAAAATCTAAATATTGAGAAAATCATCTTTAAAGTTGTCCTGTGCCGGATCTCCGGCGTGCAGCGTTTGGCTGTGGAAAACAATAGTCCTACATAAAAAAAAATCTTGTTGATTGATTTTGAGTCCATGAGTTCGCCACCAGTGGTATGAGAGGAGCACAGCTTTTACTCTCAACCAAACTAACATTACTAGCCAATCAGAATGTTTTGCTCTTATAAACGTGAGACGCACATAATAGTATCCAATTGTGCCCTGATGAATGGAGAAGCGCAACAAAAAGCTGCGAGGCGCAAATGTCAAAGATGTCCCTCTAGCGCATATTTACATAGAATAACTAATTAAAAAGCAGCGGAGCTTTGTAAACAGCTCCGAGAAATCATGTAGGTATTTGTTTTAATACATAATGTACTTAAGTTGGTTATGTTCATATTATGTATTAGGCATATTACATTATGTATTTTAACAGTGTTGTTCAATACAATCGTGTAATTTCTTGGTTTTGATATTTTTTTTGAGCCAATTATTATTGCCTCATCGTTAGTTTATATTAGGGCTGGACAATAATTCAATATCAATATGTATCGCGATATTATTTTAGTGTCAATAAGCGGTGATAAAGCTAATAATTTTCCTAGTGTATGATATAGCTTTCATTCTTCAGGTCAACCATATATTCATGAAAAAATTAATCAGTTTGAATAAAGAAAGCGATAACTTTGCCATAGTATCCTTTCAAATGTTAAAGTTGCCACAGTCATTGCATGCTTTGCATGTGCTGCCCCGTCCCGCCCCCGGAAAAAAGTTCAGGCTCAGGATTTTTTTTTGCTTTAACCCCTGAAATATACCTGTGCTACTTATGACTGCTTTTGTGCTCCAGGGTCACATTTACAGTCTTTTCTTTTCCGTCTTCAGTAGTTTAACCCACTTTAAGTGGTTCTGTGGTGTAACAAATAAATTAAAATGTTGCAGAATTCATTCTTACAAATTTGTATGAATTTTAACGAATGAATATCAGCTCTCAGAAATGCTAGGATTTAAGCTTAAATTGCTACATGTCTGACTTGTAAAAAGGAGGTCAAACTATTTAAATAGTTGTATGTTAAATGTGCATAGTTTGCAGTAAATGTAAAATTCGTTGTTTTTTCGAAATACAGTAGTTAACATTTGAAGTGGATCAAAAAAGTTCATCAAAGTTGTCCTAAGACAAGAATGCATTTTGGTTTTAGGACAACTTTGATGAAAGGTTTTGATCCACTTCAAATGTTGACTAGTGTACATAATCAACCTCTTTAAATCAATAATTTAATATTTATTTTTTATGTATATTCTTTTTTTCCATCTTCAGTAGTTTAACCTACTTTAAATGATTCTGTGATGTAACAAATTTAAAAAATGTTACTTTCAAAAAAAAAAAAAGTAAAATCCTAAAAAATGTATGAATTCTTTAAAAAAAAAAGTTCATGCAAATTTTGTTAAATATGAATAATTTGCCACTTTTCGTATATTTTACCATTCATATTCTTCTTTTCCATCTTCATTAGTTTAACCTACTTTAAATGATTCTAACAAATTCAAATAATGTTACATGTTACAAGTAAAATTCTAAAAATATGTATGAAAATATGCAATCTTACAAAACATTGTATGAATTTTTGTGAATGAATATGAGCTCATAAAAGCACTTGAAATGCTAGATTTAAGCTTAAATTACTTGATATCTGACATAAACTGAATATTAGCTTGCAGAAGTAGTAGTCATTTTAGTGAATCAGTTTGTTTGGACAGTTCATTCAATTGAATTGATTCAGAAAATAGAGATTCTTCAATTCCAGTAGTGGCTTCATTATCTGTAATGTAGCTTGTTGAACCAGTTAAAAACTCAATTTTAATACTCATCTGATCTGATAAAAATATGTGACATACTTTATTTCTGCCCAGTAGATTTTGTAGTGTGGAGGATATCGTTTATATATTTTTCTCTCACACTCAGATTTGTGTTGATAATTGAAATATTTTGTATAATAAAATTTGCATTTCTAATAATAATTCATTTCTAATTTCTAATAATAAAATATCATTTCTGAATGAATTCGTGGAACAGTCATGTATTTCTAAACACTGATTTTTTTTAAACCCTGATGATAATGGAAGATGTCAGTCAGTAGAAAAGGAAGGAGGGGTATCTGATTGAATGTTATTTATATTATTTGTATGTTTTGCTCTCAGAATATGGAGGTTCCGGCGGTCAGCCGTCAACACGCCACTCTGCTCTTCAACACGGCTCTGGAACAGGGCAAATGGGATCTGTGTCGTCACATGATCCGCTTCCTGAAGGCCATTGGTTCAGGGGAGAGCGAGACTCCGCCCAGCACACCTACCACTCAGGTGAGATGATGATGATGATGATGATGGTGTGTGAGGCTGAGATGCTGTGTGTTGAAGATCCTGTGCTGATGTGTGTGTGTGTGTGTGTTGCAGGAGCAGAGCTCCATGGGGGGCTTCGAGTTCTTCCGGAACCGCAGCATCAGTCTGTCTCAGTCGGCCGACAGCATCGCCGGAGGAAAGTTCAACCTGCAGAAGACCCTGAGCGTGCCGTCTGGACCGTCCTCCAAAGGGTAACGCAACATACGTGATTTAAATATGTCTCCGATAGTAACACACTCGCTCTCTCTGATTCATTTGAGTGAATCCGTTTGTTTGGACAGTTCATTCAGTTGAACCTGTTGAGAAGACAAAGATTCTTTAATTCTTGTCTTTCTTTTTTAATCAGTATATGTAGTTAAATGCTGCCGGTCAACACTGTTTTAGCTCTGATATAGAAATGAGAGGACCTTGACTGTATTTTACCTGCTTTATATTACTAATAGGGCTGTATGATTAATCGCAAATAAAACTGGAATCAAAGCAAAGGATTAAATAAAATAAACCATTTTCTCAAACTTGTAATTATAATCACTTCTAAACCAGCTGTTGTCAACAAAAGAGAAGCTTTTTTGAAAATAAAAAAATTAAGATAAATAAAATTAATAAATATTGGTGTTGTCGTTTTACAGTTGTGCTAATTAAATAAAATATAATAATTATTATTATTATATTTTCCTGAAATACTCCTCATTTATTTTCCGGTAAAAAAATTGTTAATATAATAAACATTATCATATATTCTAGTGATTTAAAAAAAAAAATAGTAGTAATTTTTATTTGGTTTAATTTTATTAAGTAATAATAATCATAATAAAGACAATAATAATAATAATAATTATTATTGTTGTTGCTATTTTATTATTTTTTATTTGTTGTTTTTTTTCCCCATTGCAATCATAATTAGATTTTCTCTAAATCATGCAGCCCTAATTACTAGTACCTTGTACTTTGAAGTAACTTGACCAACACTGACACACAACATGGTTCAGTTTATATGATGAGTGTGTGTGTGTGTGTGTGTGTGTGTGTGTCGTCAGTGGAGAGCGCTGGTGTAAGGACAGTGACTCTGCGGAGAATCTCTACATTGATATGATGCTGTGGCGTCACGCGAGGCACCTGCTGGAGCAGATCAGACTGCGTGATCTGGGCTGTTTCTCTGCTCAGCTGGGCTTCGAGCTGATTGGCTGGCTGTGTCGGGAGCGCACGCGGGTCGCACGGATCGACGACTTCGTTACTGCCCTCAAATGCCTGCACAAGGACTTCCTGTGGCCATTTCCTGTAATCACAGCATGCTCCATTAGCTCGCCGCTGAAGAACGGACGCTGCCGCCCAGGTGTGTGAATGTGTCTACGGAGCCCGGGAAGTCACCTGTAGGAGAAAAAAAAACAATCCGTGGCGACGGTTTTGCAATCTGTCCCTTCAGTTTATAAACCGTACTCACGAATTCTTAAACTGTTACCTCGGTTTAACAAATCGTGCCCACGGATTAATAAACTGTACTCACGAATTTCCAATCCGTGCGCTCAGATTTTGTAAACCGTACCTTCGG